CAAGAAAGGCAGTCCCCAGGCCTGGGGGGGGGGGTGCAGAGGCAGGGCTAGAGCCTGAGGCACTCTTGGCGCTCAGGGCTGCCCCAGGAGACAGGCTTAGTTTCCCCAGCATCACCTTGAGCGTGTCCCCCGTAAAGTTTCCAGGGGGCTTCAAGCCACTTCTCAGCAGCCACCCTACAGAGGTGCCGTCCTCCCCAGGGGTCCCCAGGAAGGGCCTCGGGTCAGGGTGGTACTGTGCCCTTGCCATCTTGTGCTCTGTTGAGGTACCCTGAGCTTGTTCACCCACACACACCTGAAGACTGTCCTCCTAGGTCAGAGCTCTGTGTGGAGACAGCTTCCTGGAGGTGACCTATCTGAGTCCACTGGCCCCACCCCCACCATGCAACCAGCACTATTTCCTGGCCCCTGGGTTTGGTTTCAAGGGCTTAGCGCTCTTTTCACCCTGAGAAATAGGAAAAGCAAATGAAACCTTCCCTCTCAAGAGGCCTTGAAGGAAGGAATTTGAGAGAAACCTCAGAGGCTTCGGGTAGGTCCTTTGTCCAGCCTTAGCCCCAGCCCTTCACATATACTCTCAACACTCTCAACTCCCACATACAGTAGCTTCACTGTCCTGGGGTGCCCTAAAGACACCAGGCCCTCCTGCTTACCCCCAGCCTTGGGCCTACTAGGTCCTCAGATTCCTCCTTACCCCCACAGCAACTCCTCATGCGTGTGCCTGGATGTGTAGCATGCATGTGCCCCCCCAACCCCTGACCAGGGTGACCCACAGACCCAGATTGGGTGGGTGCAGGGCTCCTGTCAGCCTCCCCTGCAGAAGCTACAGGAGGGGGCTGGCCTGCCACCTTGCTCCCAGACAGCAGTGGCCAGGCAGGCTGGCTGCACCACCCTGCTCCAAGACCCTGGACTAGGCACTCACTTCACCTCCCAGCACTGTCACCTTTCCCTAATCTGGTCAAGTTCCTCTGCTCAGCCTGTGCCCCTATTCCTTAGGGAGCCCCTGGGAACTGGGCTAAATCTAAGACATTCTCAGTGCAGCCCCC